TTTTCTGCTTTTCTCTTCCACTTCCAAGACCTATCTAGTCTCTAGGGACAGATAAATGTTTCTTCAGTTCCTTCAGTTGGCTTGTGTCTCTGAGAAGACAGGCTAGATCATCCAGAGGAGAGTGCTCTTCCAGAGCTAGGAATCACTGCATAGGAGGTACAGATGGGCACCCTGCTAAACAGCCTGAAGGAGAGAAGACTTGGGTGGATGCATTATTGTTAAAAATGTTATTGGAAATGATGTTACAAGAAAGAGAGATTAGGCTGAAAATAGCCTGCAAGGGAGTAAAAGAAGAATGTTGAGTACAAGCCACAGGCAGGTATTTTCAACCAATTTAAGAAATCACTTTTTATTTTTATTATTATTATTATTATTATTATTATTGGAGAGGTTTTTGTTCTAGGGTGCGTGCGCTCGGCAGAAAGACAGAGAGAGAGAGAAAGTGAGAAATCACCCCCCGGGGGGATGGCCATGCCACAATCCCTTCTCGTCCATTCTCCTCTCAGGGTCTTGGGCACGCATGCACATGCGCAGCATTAATTTAAGCCACTGGGTCTGGGACTCGAGCTGCGGTCGACTACATGGGAGTCCAGCAACATGGCCATTACACCAACTGCTGGTCCCAGAAATCACTTTTTAAAAAAGGTATCTCAAAATGGTGTGGAACTGCCTGAGAGGTAGTAGCTCTCCTACCACTAAAAATACCAGACATGGATAGGACAAAGAGTTGGGGGGAATATTATAAAGAATATATTGATATCAGCTGTAAAGCCACTGTAGGTGAGTTCTAAATATTTTACAATCCTGAGAGGCTAAGATTCCAGTTTTCCTCTGTCGCAAGGCTGGGGTCCCTCAATACTCCAATCTACCTCGGGCAAATCTGCAGCTTGGGCTCAGCCTATTTTCATTTTCTCCAGTCTACCAGACATCCCTCTCTAAATTTTTGTTTTCTAGTGAAAAATCATGTCATATTTCCTGAAGGGGACAGTCATCCTTTGTTATCCATATTGTCCATATAAAAGTAGCCCTTTTATTTATATATATATATATGTGTATATATGTATAGCATACACACATATATATATATATATATATATATATACACATATATATATAAATAAACAGATAGTATTATAGGAAAACTGTGTGTTATACAAGTTAGGTACTCCATTAATGAATACTTATAGCTATGACAACTTCAATCATAAAATAACTCATAGTTTATTGGAATTTTGGAGTCATTCACATTAATAGAAAATTTGAAAGCAACAAAATTACTTGAATAAGATAATTTGAGCCATGTAAGATTTTCCAGAACTAGGAAAAATCACCTATAGAATTTGATCTATTACTATTAGGATGAAGACATTTAGAAAGGAAGGAGTATCTTTATAACTAAAAATTATTTGCACAATATCTGGAATTCATTTAGAAGTTTCTTAATCTCCCTACATCTAGACACTTTCTTAAGAATCACTGAGCCAGCAGGTGGCATAGTGATTAAGGAGCTGAACCCCCACATAGCCAACCATGGTTCCAGTCCCATATTTGGCAACTCCTAAGTCCTCCCAAGAAACTTCCTAAACATTACTCATGATTACTGAGACACTGCTAAGATCAGTTCCTGTAGCTGATCTGAATCAAATTATGCTTCTTTTATGACACAGATGCAACTCACAGCTCCTAGGCAACAACTAAGTTTACTCTTTCTGTTTAAAAATGTCAAAGTAATTAGCAGTCAGGGTTAGTGAGGGAGCAGGAAGAAGCAAAGAAGAGAACTATGAAGTTCCAAGTAGAGAATGTGTTGAGCTTTGATCATGTTTGTTTATAACTATACAATGGACTTTTCATGTACATTGAAACTTGCTTACCTGCTGCTGAAGTTTGCCCTGCTCCCGAAGCACTGGTTGTACAACCAACTGAGTTGCAAAGAGAAACAGTAAATTTGTATATCCTGTACGGTTTCAGTCCTTTCACAATATAAAATCGTTCTTGGGATTTAGCAGTGTGCAACAGCTTCGAAGGAAAAAAAAAAAAAAAAAGACCACAAGATAAAATAAAATTAGACAATAGATAATTAGTGTGAAATATATAAGCTTGGCAGTCAAAGTTCCATGAATCCAGACAGAGGAATTATTGCCAACCACTATTAGGAAAAGGGATTTTTTTCAAAGAGTCTCAACAAGCCAGGATTTAATTGATAATTGTACAATCACACTGTTTTATGAGGTAATAATCCAGTTCCTGAGTGGATAAATGAGAAAACCTAGTTATTGCCTCATAAAGCAGCGTGGTGGTATGGTTATTGTCACCAATGGTAGAGATAAAGATGGTGACATTGTTATTGTTACCATGAAAAAGTACAAATGAAACCATGGGGCTTGGCCAAAAGTACCCCAGTGCGGTAATGCCCATACTATTTGATGGCGCTAGAACAGAAAGATGACAGTATGTTAAATCACTCACATCATTTTCTTAAAAAAAAAAAAAAAAAGAGAGAGAAAAAAAAGCCATGGAAGGAAAAAAATATTAAACATATTATTGAGCATCTATGTGAAGTCAATTTTCTATTATCTTTCTCTTCCAAGTATATTCAGGTTAAAGCAAAAACTTACAATTTTGAAATGTCATTATAATATAATTTCACATGAAAATAGTTTTGTGCAAAACAGAATTTTGAGACTGAGAGGAACTTCACAGCCAATAAACAAGCAATTAAACAGTCAACACTGAGAGCTGGTCACATTGTTATAACTAGAACTGATTAAAAGGAATCATGTATATTTGTTTAAGCTGCAAATTCCAAGGCCATTAGAAATCATATTCAGACAAAAAAAAAAAGGAATTAATATAGAAAAGGTGTCAGGTGGCACAGTGGTAAAATGTGATCCTCTGCAAGTCAATCCGACATCGGAAGGTTCCTACTTTAAATCTTAAGACCTGAGAACAGTGGGTAGGTGCTTGCCTATGAGCCAGGGCTAGCTGAAGACTGGAGGTGGATGGCAGCATCAGGACCCTGTAGGAATGTTCTCTCTCTCTCTCTCTCTCTCTCTCTCTCTCTCTCTCTCTCTCTCTCTTTCTCTCAGAGAAAATAAATGAATATACTTTATAAAGGAAAACAGTATGTAAGATGCCAACCACAAACACAAAACTATTTTTTGTAGGACTACTGATAAACGGTCATATAAAATAATTATTTATATATAAGCACAAATAATTACAAAGTTTAGCAACATTTAGAATGACTTCCCAGATAGTCTCCTTTTAGGACTACAATAAAATTCACTTGCAATACTTGCTCAGGTATTGACTTTAAAATTTCATAACCTAAGTGAGTACTTCTAAAAAGCAGTCTGAGTGCAATATAAAATATAATATTTAGATAACATTCTTCAGGGAGAAATATGTTTCAAAGATGCCAAATACCCAGGAATAATGTAAAACTTTAGTACCATTTCTCTACAATTATAGTTAGAACTCAGAAAATCAAACACTTAATTATTAATTCTTTACTTCTTTAATTCTAAAATGAACCTTGAGGTATTAGAGATAGAAACTTTTCTGTGTAATGTGATTTAAATTTTTCTAAGAAAAATAAAACCTTGAGATGAGTTAAAGTTATTGACTATTCACTCCATTTAGAATAATCCAGGTGTGATATAATGTAATTTTTTTAAAATTTTTAGGATTAAAATACTTTAAGATACTTCTTATGCAATTCAGGAAGTTGAATGATTTCTTTAACTGCCTGAGGGTGCATATGCTTGCAGGAAAGAGAAGGAGAGAAGTTGGGGGAGTGAGCAAGCATACCTCCCTGTGGGGAATGGTCATAAAACAATCTTCTCAACTCCTCTTGGGATTTTGGGCATCTCAGTCTCAGATCTAGGACTTGAACCATACAGTCGACCATGTGGCATCCAGCTGCCACAACTACTATACCACAAGCTGGCCTAAATAATTTTTTAAGCAAATTATTTTTTGCATCAAGAACACATTAAAGATATATTAAAAATAGAAATAAAAACTAATATTAATTTTGATGGACTTTTACTTCTCCTCATACAGTGGTTGTTAAAAGTTACATGATTTATATAATAAATAACATGATTTTATGCCCTCTCCCATGGGATCTGGTGGGAGGACATAAAATTATCACTCAAATTCTGTCTGTATCTTGTATATAGAGTCAATTTTTATGTCTTATAAAACTTATCTAATTGGAAATTATATACACATATATATATAAATAAACAGATAGTATTATAGGAAAACTGTGTGTTATACAAGTTAGGTACTCCATTAATGAATACTTATAGCTATGACAACTTCAATCATAAAATAACTCATAGTTTATTGGAATTTTGGAGTCATTCACATTAATAGAAAATTTGAAAGCAACAAAATTACTTGAATAAGATAATTTGAGCCATGTAAGATTTTCCAGAACTAGGAAAAATCACCTATAGAATTTGATCTATTACTATTAGGATAAAGACATTTAGAAAGGAAGGAGTATCTTTATAACTAAAAATTATTTGCACAATATCTGGAATTCATTTAGAAGTTTCTTAATCTCCCTACATCTAGACACTTTCTTAAGAATCACTGAGCCAGCAGGTGGCATAGTGATTAAGGAGCTGAACCCCCACATAGCCAACCATGGTTCCAGTCCCATATTTGGCAACTCCTAAGTCCTCCCAAGAAACTTCCTAAACATTACTCATGATTACTGAGACACTGCTAAGATCAGTTCCTGTAGCTGATCTGAATCAAATTATGCTTCTTTTATGACACAGATGCAACTCACAGCTCCTAGGCAACAACTAAGTTTACTCTTTCTGTTTAAAAATGTCAAAGTAATTAGCAGTCAGGGTTAGTGAGGGAGCAGGAAGAAGCAAAGAAGAGAACTATGAAGTTCCAAGTAGAGAATGTGTTGAGCTTTGATCATGTTTGTTTATAACTATACAATGGACTTTTCATGTACATTGAAACTTGCTTACCTGCTGCTGAAGTTTGCCCTGCTCCCGAAGCACTGGTTGTACAACCAACTGAGTTGCAAAGAGAAACAGTAAATTTGTATATCCTGTACGGTTTCAGTCCTTTCACAATATAAAATCGTTCTTGGGATTTAGCAGTGTGCAACAGCTTCGAAGGAAAAAAAAAAAAAAAAAGACCACAAGATAAAATAAAATTAGACAATAGATAATTAGTGTGAAATATATAAGCTTGGCAGTCAAAGTTCCATGAATCCAGACAGAGGAATTATTGCCAACCACTATTAGGAAAAGGGATTTTTTTCAAAGAGTCTCAACAAGCCAGGATTTAATTGATAATTGTACAATCACACTGTTTTATGAGGTAATAATCCAGTTCCTGAGTGGATAAATGAGAAAACCTAGTTATTGCCTCATAAAGCAGCGTGGTGGTATGGTTATTGTCACCAATGGTAGAGATAAAGATGGTGACATTGTTATTGTTACCATGAAAAAGTACAAATGAAACCATGGGGCTTGGCCAAAAGTACCCCAGTGCGGTAATGCCCATACTATTTGATGGCGCTAGAACAGAAAGATGACAGTATGTTAAATCACTCACATCATTTTCTTAAAAAAAAAAAAAAAAAGAGAGAGAAAAAAAAGCCATGGAAGGAAAAAAATATTAAACATATTATTGAGCATCTATGTGAAGTCAATTTTCTATTATCTTTCTCTTCCAAGTATATTCAGGTTAAAGCAAAAACTTACAATTTTGAAATGTCATTATAATATAATTTCACATGAAAATAGTTTTGTGCAAAACAGAATTTTGAGACTGAGAGGAACTTCACAGCCAATAAACAAGCAATTAAACAGTCAACACTGAGAGCTGGTCACATTGTTATAACTAGAACTGATTAAAAGGAATCATGTATATTTGTTTAAGCTGCAAATTCCAAGGCCATTAGAAATCATATTCAGACAAAAAAAAAAAGGAATTAATATAGAAAAGGTGTCAGGTGGCACAGTGGTAAAATGTGATCCTCTGCAAGTCAATCCGACATCGGAAGGTTCCTACTTTAAATCTTAAGACCTGAGAACAGTGGGTAGGTGCTTGCCTATGAGCCAGGGCTAGCTGAAGACTGGAGGTGGATGGCAGCATCAGGACCCTGTAGGAATGTTCTCTCTCTCTCTCTCTCTCTCTCTCTCTCTCTCTCTCTCTCTCTCTCTTTCTCTCAGAGAAAATAAATGAATATACTTTATAAAGGAAAACAGTATGTAAGATGCCAACCACAAACACAAAACTATTTTTTGTAGGACTACTGATAAACGGTCATATAAAATAATTATTTATATATAAGCACAAATAATTAAAAAGTTTAGCAACATTTAGAATGACTTCCCAGATAGTCTCCTTTTAGGACTACAATAAAATTCACTTGCAATACTTGCTCAGGTATTGACTTTAAAATTTCATAACCTAAGTGAGTACTTCTAAAAAGCAGTCTGAGTGCAATATAAAATATAATATTTAGATAACATTCTTCAGGGAGAAATATGTTTCAAAGATGCCAAATACCCAGGAATAATGTAAAACTTTAGTACCATTTCTCTACAATTATAGTTAGAACTCAGAAAATCAAACACTTAATTATTAATTCTTTACTTCTTTAATTCTAAAATGAACCTTGAGGTATTAGAGATAGAAACTTTTCTGTGTAATGTGATTTAAATTTTTCTAAGAAAAATAAAACCTTGAGATGAGTTAAAGTTATTGACTATTCACTCCATTTAGAATAATCCAGGTGTGATATAATGTAATTTTTTTAAAATTTTTAGGATTAAAATACTTTAAGATACTTCTTATGCAATTCAGGAAGTTGAATGATTTCTTTAACTGCCTGAGGGTGCATATGCTTGCAGGAAAGAGAAGGAGAGAAGTTGGGGGAGTGAGCAAGCATACCTCCCTGTGGGGAATGGTCATAAAACAATCTTCTCAACTCCTCTTGGGATTTTGGGCATCTCAGTCTCAGATCTAGGACTTGAACCATACAGTCGACCATGTGGCATCCAGCTGCCACAACTACTATACCACAAGCTGGCCTAAATAATTTTTTAAGCAAATTATTTTTTGCATCAAGAACACATTAAAGATATATTAAAAATAGAAATAAAAACTAATATTAATTTTGATGGACTTTTACTTCTCCTCATACAGTGGTTGTTAAAAGTTACATGATTTATATAATAAATAACATGATTTTATGCCCTCTCCCATGGGATCTGGTGGGAGGACATAAAATTATCACTCAAATTCTGTCTGTATCTTGTATATAGAGTCAATTTTTATGTCTTATAAAACTTATCTAATTGGAAATTTTCCATGGAACAAATCTTTAAAGGGGTTGGAAACTCCACGGAAGCTTTAAACCCTACGCTGATACAATCACCACCTGTATAGACTTCCCCTGACAGATACTTAGGCTAAGATGCCTTCACAATAATTTTTACCATAGATTTTTTAAGAAATGTAGGTTATTTATTTACCAAGACTATAATAAGGTACACTTAGATCAGTTTGAATACAAATTTAATTATCGAGAAGGTGAAAATACTGACTTTGCTCTGCTACTTTTGATTTCATGCCCTTGAATATGAGTAAGTAGAAATGATCCAAGTTTTTGATACAACTCGAATGAAATGTTCTGGGTATTTGAAAAAGAGAGAGAATGCAAAAGAGAATAAAGGGATCTATCTCTTGCCTTATTCCAATTCAGTCACAAAGAAAGGGTTTCTAAACAAATAAACAGAAAAGATTTCTTTTCCTAGCCCATTGAATGACAGCTAGTTTATAAAACCTAATGTAGTCATATCCCATTAATAATAATCACTAATAATAACAACAGTGCCAGTGTTTACCAAGATCTTTAAGTTCCACATAAAAACATACAGGTCAGCAGAAAATGCTTCTCGGTTTTACAGATGAGTAAAACCTGAAGCACAGAGATGGATGACACAGCAAATAATTAAAACAAGTTGAGTATAAACAAATAAATTCACTTCTATGACTGTATTTTTCTAAGCTGTCATTTTCTCCTTAGTTTCAGTGCTTGGAATACAATAAGTACTGTGATGCAAGTAATAGTTGAATTAAAATTGGGTTGTACAAGGAAAGAATAGTTTATAATGCTAAAGATAGTAAAAAACAAACAAACAAAAAACACAGTAAAACAACAGGATAAATATGGGAAAAAAACAGGGCAATTAAAGACCAAATAGCAGCTGTAACTATAAATTTATCACAAATTCTGTAATGTACCAATTTGGTAGACTAAATTGTTTAAGTTAAAAGACATGAGTTACACTAGCTACAATTTTTTATCATGAGAGAGTTGCAAATGAGTCAACACTTTTATCCAGGATAAAGGAAAAGGACAACAAGGAATCATAAATTATTTATTGGCTCTTTTTTCTTCATCTAGAAAACACAATTTCCTGCTGTTATTCGTGTTCTGTCCATTAAAAAACACACAAAATAAAATGGCAAACCTATTCATAGTGGACTGAATGGTGTGTCCCCAAAATTCCTATCTACCAAGAACCTGGAAAGGGGACCTAATTTAGAAATAAGTTCTTTGCAGATGTACTGAGTTAAATAATTTTGAATATAGGCTTAGCCTTAAGTCCAGTGTCTGTTGTCTTCACTAGAGAAATGAGAGACACACAGAGACAAAGTGAAGGCAGTGTGAAGTCAGAGGCAGAGACTGCATTTTATCATCACAAGTCAGGGAACATAAAAGAGGGAAGAAAGCATTGTCTCTAACAGCTTGCATAATTCTCCTAACATCTTAATTTCAGACTTTCGGCCTCTAGGATTATGGGAGAATATATTTCTGTTGTTTGAAGCCACCTGTTTGTGATAATTAGTTGAAACAACCCCAGGAAATTAATACAATGAGGGTACAAAGATCTAGCCTCCCTTGGCTTAATTTCAGACAATCTTACTGGGTAATTTCAGCTCCAGAATCACCCACAGGTTCAGCTGGGGACTCCTGCATGATAACCTTCAAGTTTCACTTCTTGTTCTGCTCAGTTCTGTTTTTCTTATCACTTTACATGTTTTGTAGAAGGACTCCCCTGTATCTGTTATCACTTTACATGTTTTGTAGAAGGACTCCCCAGTTACCATTCTGCATTCAGGTTCTACCAGTCTGTCTCCTGAGGAATCTGACCTAAGATAGTGGTACCACCTATGACCCTAGGAGAAACTCTAAACGGTATTTTGGAACTGGATACCCTACTAGCTGGCTGGCCATGGGTCATCACAGGTAATAGTGAGATAATGGCAGCCCACAGCATGCTCTAGTGGTTCAATTTTTAAACCTTCCTCAGTGGTGAATCAGGGTGAATTTCCAGTGGTGGAACTGGCAATCGTAAGGATTCTCATTGTATGCCTCTTTCTGGCTGTTATCAGAGCACTGAAGGACACAGAAAATCTGAGGGTAATTAATTACCAGTTTATAAAAAATTATAAAAACCTTTCCTGACCGTACTTATTTTCTATATGAATAACAATCTATTAAATGGATCAGATAAGCAAGAAATGCCAGCTATGTAGAGGTCTTGATTTGATAAAACATATCAATGTCCTAGAAGATGGGAGATCAACTTTATTATGAGATCTGCCACATCAGTGAAGTTTGAAGGAGTTGTAATGGCCTAAGACAAGCTAAGACATTCTTTCCATTGTAAAGGACAGATTATTGCATCTTGCAACTATACCAATAGAAAGAAGAACAATGTCCGGTAGGTCTCCTTATGTTCTGAAGGGAGCATATTTCACACTTGAGAATACTGTTCAGACTAATTACTGAATAATAACACAGAATGCTATCGGCTTTGAGTGCACAAAGGCATCATTCAATTCTGAAAGGACGTTAGTTAAAAATAATGATACCTGTGAAAACACCGCTGGAGCTGATTGGTGAAGTGACTGTTCAGAAATCATATTGATGTCATACCGCACAACTTTTCCTCTCGTAAAGTTATCCGGTGGCTTCTCCCAGGACACATTGAGAGAGCAGGATGAGAGAGCAAAGACTGATGGTGGGTTCATGAATAAAGGCTCTATCAATGACAAAAACAACATCATCAAAACAATGAGTGCTGTTTTATAAGTTTCAAACTGAATTCACACATCTATGTTCTTCTAGTTTCTGAAATACCCTATACTCTTTAAAACATTCCGATTTGAAAGAAAATAAAGAATGCATTGGTATATGCAAAGTTATTCACTTTTTAAAAGTCATCTGCAAAGTTATTTTTCATTTTTATATTATGGGTTAAGATTTTTCCATTTTCAAAATAAAAATCTTATAGATATTGCTTATGTTCATAAAGATAACCAGTGGGAAACTGGGGAGGAAACAATATTCTTATAAGTATTGGAAAGAAGTCATGGAATAAGTCTGTCTTAGCCTACAAAATTTAAAACAATGTATAGTGCTGTAAGAGTTTCTCATGTAAAGAAATGTTTCTTTGAGTCAAGCTGCCATAGCTGGGAGAATATTGCTCTTCAGAAAGAGGTAAATCTAAAATGTTCTAAATAACCCCAAAGAAATGATCCAAGTTTTTGATACATCTCGAATGAAATGTTCTGGGTATGTACACACATATATTTCCCCCCTGCCATCCTTGAGATCTTAATATGTATTTTAAATGTGCTAACCAAAGGTGTATTATCAAAGGACCTCATTGCACTTTCATTAGCCAGTGACCCGTACGATTATGAGGGTCCAGTATTGCAGTTTCACCCATTACTTTTCATTTCTGACCTTGATTTTCCCCTTCCAGAATGCCATGCCTCATCACTTGTGCTATCACGGCACTATTATTTGTCCAAGATGGCTGATAGTCATTAAGAGATGCTCAAGCACAATGCACATTTTATTCATGAAATGATTCCCTTGGACATCAAACTAAAGCTGCCCTCATCCTCTAAAGTTCTAACAGATCAAAGTTAGATAAGGACTTGAGATTTCTTTGAATATCCACAGATTCAAACAACAATGAACTTGTGTTTTTTCCCTTCGGGCTCATGAAATACGAAGTTTCTAATGTAAAGAATAGATGGAAGGAAATATTACGCTTTCCTTAAAGTGAAATAATCAAGATACCTTAAGAAAATTAAAAATTCTTGTTCTTATTCCCTACCATACTGCGGTTTATGAGCACACTTGTGATGACAGATTTTGATGTTTAGAGTCCTATCATTATGTATGATATAGTATCTAAACTCTTTGTTTGGGATGATAAATAAAAACAAAAACATATTCGTGACACTGGTAATATTTTCTTTTAACTGAACCAAAATTGTGCAGAATATGGAACAAGATGAGATGTGTGTCCAACCCACTTCCAGATGAAAAACCAACTGCTATCTTTGGAAAAACATTCCCCAAAGACTATATAGTTAAGTCATCCTGCCCTCCACATGAATAAAGAGCTAAAGCAGTTACTTTTCCCCCTAAAACACTGCAAGGATGCTATGACCTTGAGTTATTTATGTAACCAAATCCATATATTAAATCTTTCCTCGGCTTATATAACTTTATAATTCTTGTTTTTCAAACTGTTCTTTAGCACTGTTGACGTTAATTTGAGGAAGCACTTTCTTTCGGGGGATTTAAAAATAGAGCTCAAAGCATCGATCTTTACCTGACTCTCCTGTTCGTTCTGAGATCCAGGCAGAAGATACACTACCAGCCATATTCACAGCTAAGACTCTAAATGCATACTTGGTGTATGGCTCCAAGCCAGTAATGGTTGCAGTTGTTTGAGGAGGTTTTAATGCATTTTCATTGGCCGATTCTGTAAACAGGTAAGGACTGAGCCAGCCACTGCTCTGAAACACTCGACTTTCTTCAGAAACATTTTCTTCAGTATATTTCAATTTTTTCATGTATAGTTCATATCTTATAATTATTCCTGGAAAAGTTAAACAGCAAGCTAAGGTGATTTATCAAAGGAGTTATTTGGGTGATGAGGTGGGGACAGGTCAGTTAAACAGTGGTTTTTCATTATTCTTCTACTAAATTACTGCTTTGTTTTTCATTATTTTTTCAGTTTTGCCATAGGGAATGTGAACTCACCAGAGAGATACAAAGAGAGGGAAAGTGAGAATTTACCCCCGGGGGCGGGGCAGGATGGTCACACCACAATCCCTTCTCCTTTATTCTCCTCTCAAGATTTTGGGCATGGACGTACATGCTCCTGGCATGATTTTCAAGCTGCCATGTCCAGGGCTCAAACCATGGTCAGTCCTGTGGAAGTTCAGCATCTTAACCACTACCCCACTTAGTGGCCCCACCTGTCCATTTCTTCAGCAATCTAGATGACAGATACTTAAAAGACAACAAACTAATAAGTAGATGAATATACTAAATATGATTAAGTACTATTAAATATTAATTCTATCAAAGTCACATTCACAAAGAAATTAAACCCAAAGGGACAGTGTATAAACACAAAATAGCTGTAGTTTATCACAGATAAATTATTTTTGGAATGGTCATAATTTCTACTAAAAATGGCTAGCTATTTTAAGAAATTTGATTCTTTTTTTTTTTGAGAGGTTTTTGCTATAGTGTGTGTGTGCTCACCGGAAAGACAGAGAGAGACAGAGAGATAGAAAGCGAGAAATCATCCCCCCCAGGGGGGATGGCCACGCCGCAATCCCTTCTCCCCCATTCTCCTCTCGGAATCTTGGAAACGCACACACACATGCCTGGTGTGAGTTTAAGCCACTGGGCCTGGGACTCAAACTGCAGTCGACTATATGGGAGTTCAGCGACATAGCCATTATGCTAACTGCTGGTCCCAGGAATTTGATTCTTTTATCTCCTAATTGTTTATTTTTTTAAACTTAGGGATTTTAATTTAATTATTTAACATAATCCCTATTTGCATTAAATATTATGGTTAATTTTTACCCAGTTGTACCAAGTAACTTAAAACATCTAGGGAAAGGTCCTGTCATGCTATACACATGATATAAATTACTAAAACTCTATGAATGTGTGTCTGGCCCATATAATCAAGGGTTCAATTATATGAACACAAAAATTAACTTAATGGAGTCAGCTAGCCTATATACCTTTTTTTGTATTATACCCTTTTTTGGTTCAAAAGAGAAAATTTACTGCTTCTGGGTGCCCTAACTTGTGACACAGTCAAATATAATGCATTTCATAAGTGAATTTCAAATTATAAACATCATTTCTGTTGTGGCAGATGTCATTAAGAGCAAAGATAATATTAGCCTTTTAAGGAGCAATTTAATTGAATGGAATTTGTTATTAGATTAGCAGAAATACACTTATTCCATAAACCAAGACAATCGTGCAGCTATAAAAATGAGAACTGCTAGACTCCTGTTGCACAATTCCAGATATCCAGATTCTCACTCAAATCTTGCCCAAGAAAGGGAAATCTAGCTTAAAATCTTACCATTTGGTTCTGCTGGTGGAGACCATTCTACATGAAGCTCTGTGGAACTGATTTTCCGAACTTCAGGTGGACTCAGCCCTCGGGGAGATGCCTGGGCTGTTGTCACAGTAACAGGCATGCTGTGTAAACACCCCTCACTAGTACACGCCTGTACAGAAAAATGGTACTTGGTGAATGGTACCAGATTCCAGATGGTAGCTGAAGTTTCTTGACCTTCATAAGAAACAAATGGCTGAACGCTTCCCAGAGAAGTGCAGGACACAATATATTTTTCAATAGGACCAGTATGATTTGAAAGTGCGGTCCAGGTAAGGGTCACAGAGTCTGAGCTAACAGGAATGATATAACTTAAGCTCAAGTTTCCCTGTGGGATCCCTGGTTTTGTCCTGTAAGTGACGGTTGCACTCCTTATTGAACCATGCATGTTCTTGGTCTCTAAGTAGTAGGAATATGAGGTATACGGAGACAGGGAAGTGTCTAAGAAGTGCTGAGTATCTGAAATGAAAAGAAAAAACAATAGTTGTATTCCACAAATTGATAATCATTTCTAATTGCTTTCTCAGTATATTATTTAACACTCCCAATCCCCTGTTTTGAATAAGTATATGTTTTCTGTATTTAAGATGGAAATAAAATGAATATTGGTTACTTTTTCTATTTAGTATAATGTAAGAAAAGTGCCATTTATAATAAAGAGTACATAGTTTTAGTTCTTATTTCGCTCTTTATACTATCTTTTTTAAAAAAAAATAATTTATTTAATTTTATTTATTCATTCACTCAAAAGAGTACGTAGAAGTTTTAGTTCTTATTTCGCTCTTTATACTATCTTTTTTTAAAAAAAAATATTTATTTAATTTTATTTATTCATTCACTCATTTTATTAATGTGACTAGAGAGACAGAGGGTGAGAGTGAGAGAGAGAAGTGAGAAAGCAAGCCTCCATATTCAGGACTCGAACTCTGGTCGGCCATGTGGGAGTGTCCAGCACCTTAACCACCATGCCACCTGCTGGTCCCCTATACTGTCTTTTTGATAGAAGGCCTAAGAGAGACTTTTTGCATTTCTCTCAGTCAGAAATAACTATTTCCTCTATGTAAATGGTTTGCTTGTTAAGTAGCAATACACTAGACGAAGGGTCAGCAAACCACCACCTGGGGCCAATTCTGTCACCTGGCCAACATCTGGACCAGAACCTCTCCTGATTCCCTGACCATTAGAAGTTGTGTGAATTTACAAATTTGTATTGTTTTAAAGCTGCTAATTAGAGATGTTTGTTATCAGCAAAGGAGAATTTGCACACAAGCTGTTCTGCGTAAGAAGGATTTCTATGCATAAAGGACTTGAGAGCAAAGAGAATAAGGATGAAAGAGGCTAAAATTAAAAAAAAAAAAGACAGAGGGTGGACATGATCAAACATGTGCCTGAAACTCTGCATTCTCTAAAAGGACAGTAAGTACGTCATAGGGCTATGAAACATACAAGCACCAGAGTGCCTGCCATCTGGAGCCTCTTGAGAGCAAGGAGGAGAGTTCGGCTATGCAGGGGTCCCTACATTAATACCAAAGTCCCAGCATATTTCATGCTTACAATGAAATATTGAGTTGTCAGAAAAGTTATGATGCATTTTTGCATTAAAAAAAAAAAAAAACAGAAAAAATGCATCGTGACTTTTCTGACAACCAAATAGTTAAGTATTTGGAGTCTGATTTTTAATCCACAGAGTTTCTTGGTTTCCTGAATAGTGAGGATGCGTATTGAGAACCTACTATGGGATGTACTGTGGGACCTCTGTGACTGGGGCAAGATAAACCTTTGTCCCTTGACAGTGTTAAAGTTGGATATAGGATACGAGGGGAAAAGTTGGGTATGGAGGGAAAAATCTTACAAAGTTCTAAGCAGTACTAAGAGTTTAAGGAAGTTTAAGTTAGTAAAGTGTTCGTGAGGACCTGACCAAACTGAGAATGAGCTTGTGCTCATCAGCTTCATGCATCAGAAACTGATGTCATGAGAATGCCAAGAGTGTGATCTAGCCAGCTGTGCTTCATAAATGAGCCAGCATCCTCTGATGGACCTTCTGCAAAGGGCCAGAGGAAAGCTGCCTTCCCCCAAAGGTCATCATTGTGGTTGAGGGAGGGGAGTATTGAAGACCAAACAACACTAGTAAATATCTGAGTGAAAGGTAATTTTGCCATTCTGTTACATATGTCATTACAAATTCTTCATGAAAATATGTTGAGCAGTTTCTGAGTCCAGTCAGGACATAGAAATGACAGACTATTTGTGGAAGGGACATTCAGTATAAAGAATAATTTCTGGGACCAGCAGTTGGTGTAATGGCTATGTTGCTGGGCTCCCACATAGTAGACCACAGTTCGAGTCCCAGACCTGATGGTTTAAACTCACGGCGGGCATGTATGTGTGCGTACCCAAGATCCAAGAGGAGAATGGAGGAGAAGAGGTTGTGGTGTGGCCATTCCTCCAAGGGGGGGTGACTTCTTACTTTCTGTCTCTCTGTCTCTCTCTCTGTTTCTGGTGAGTGCACGCACCTTATAGCAAAAACCTCTCCAAAGACCGCCCCTTACAGCAAAAACCTCTCCAAAAAAAAAAAAAAAAGAATTGTTTAGAATATGGCTTGACTCCTAAAGAGTACAAAAACTCTAAAGAATAGAGAAATTTAAGACCCTTAGTGTTCAGCACAATACCCAAGGAAAGAACATATCTGGAAAACTCCTCCAGGGCTGAGATCCATACGCATCAAAGAAGATACAGTTGTGACTCACTGGACAGTGGAAAAGTCTGTCGAGGTTCCAAGAAGGCCAAATTCCCTGGAACCTGCCCTAAGTAGTGCCTAAGGCACCATAACTCAGAATTCACCGGAAAACTACCCTCTAGAGTGCCAGGGAACGCCTCTGAGATTTGGAGCTATGTCCTGGACTCACTAGAAGCTACTCTGCAGTGCCCTGGGAAGCTGCCCACCTGGAGGTGCCCACTAGTGGAATTTACTGGGATTTCCACACGTTGTCCTCTGGTATGTGTATTGTAGAACTTACCACTCATGGGAATGGTACCCAGGAAAGATGCCCTTTGGAATTCTAGGGCTAAGGGGATAGAAATCTGTCTAGGTGTGGTACCCGGGATCCCTGGCCATCAAGTGTTAAGTGGTCTTCTGGGTCTTGGCCACACTTCCTACTGGCAAAATGTAACACTGTGCTTGTGACAAAAGAGAAATGTTTACAGGCTCCAGTTCCATTCTCGGAGTGGGTGTGAAATTGGAGATGATACATTGATAAGTAGTATATGCATACACTAGAAGAAATACTTTATGAGACCATGGCACTTAACTAAATTTTTAGGAAACGTTTCCATGGGAAGCATGTAAAATTATTTACATGTTATTTATAATAGGAAAATATTTAAGTAAATTAAAATAGAACTTCTTGATGGATTATAACATCTTAGCATTAGTCTATTACATTAATAAGATAATAACATTACACAGTTATTTAAAACCACAGTGATGAAGGCCATTTAGAACTATGTCCAAAAATAAAATGAAATAGTGTGTACACTTGACATTTTCCAAAACAAAGTCAAGCATTGTGCTAGAATGAGGAAATTTTAAGGCTTAACTTTTTTTTCTTTTAAACTTTCTTAATTGGATATACCATTGTTATGATATACATGCCCAAAACAAAATTACTATTTAGACAAATTATTACACTAGAAGAGTGTGAGATTCTTTTGAGACATTAATGCCAATAATCAAGTACACAAATTTCTTTCTTCCCAAGTATGTTTAGCATCAGATTATTAAAAGAAAATGTATTCTTGGGCCAGCAGGTGGCAATAGTGGTGAAGGCTCTGGACTCCCACATTGCCAACAGTGACTCAAGTCCTGGACCCAGTGGCTTGAAACTCATACCAGGTGCGTGTGTGCACCAAAATCCTGAGAGAAGAATGGAGGAGAAGGAATTGTGGCATGGCTCCCCTACTCAGGGGGGATTTCTCACTTTGTCTCTCTGTCTCTCCAGCAAAAATCTCTACAAAACAAACAAACAAATAACAACAACAACAAAAAATCAAGTAGTTGCTTTCCTTGGTCAGGATAAAGATTTTCTCCAACTTTAACTCCGAATTTGAAAAGTTGTTCTCTTATTTGAAGACTTTTGAACTTTCAAGGGTGACATTTCCACACTTTGCCTCAGCACTCATTTGTAAGCTTGGTTGATACCTGCACTGGCCTGTGGCCCTCACCCTGATGTACCATCCCCCCAAGTCACATGGAAGTGCTCGTCTCCTCAGAACACTTTATTTTCTCAATGCCTCTATGTCTTTTAAGACACAATTTCTTCCATAAGAATTACTCTTCTACGACAGTACCTAATCTAGCTCATGGCACCTCATTATGAAACTTATAATAGTTCTCAATCACTGTCATTGTCCCAACCAGCCTTTACCCCCACTATCAACCCAATCCATGCTTTCTTTCTTTTCTTTTTTTTTTTTTAAGAGAGATTTTTACTTTAGGACATGTGCACTTGCCAAAGATAGAGAGACAGAAAGTGAGAAATCACCCCCCAGAGGAGATGGCCACACCACAGTAGCTTCTCCTTCTCCTCTCAGGATTTTGGCAATACACGCACACACACCCAGTGTGTTTTAAGCCACCAGGTCCAGGACTAGAACTGTGGTCAACTTCATTGGGAGTCCAGCGACGTAACAGTTACGCCACCTGCTGGTCCCCGAACCATGCTTTCTTAATACTTTGGGTTTCCTTTGACTCATCATTTAACATATTCTATTGTAACTGGTTTACTTAATCATCTCTCTTGTCAATAAGGAGAACTGTTCCTTCTATCATTTTATTCTAGTAGCTGGTACAGTCCGTGGTCTGGAGTAACTACTGCATAAAATTTTATTGAACAAATGAGTCATTTCTCCATACATGTCAGATCTTCCAAGAAAGAATGTTAAGAGTCTTACCAACACAGTCCGTTGTCATTTTTTCTCCTGTGCTCTTTCTTATCTACTCGCTGTATTTTAGTCTGATCCCTTCTGTTTCTCAAACCTAACTGAATCACCCTACCACTTGTACACTGATCTCTTGATACAGTATGGGACAATAAATGACCATGACATAAAAACGGAAATGAATAATATAGGTACAAATTAAATCCAAGGGTTTACTAAGATACGTTATTGCTTAGAATTCTAAAAACCACATCCTTGCCTCTAAGTGATATAAGCCATTACTACATGCAGAAATAATTATATAGAAATAATTCTCCTCTAGTTTCCCCCATGGAAGAACTTTTCCTAGACTGACACTGAACAGCCATCTCCTCACTCTCACCATCCAAAAGGACGAAAAACACAACTGACTGTGAGGTGGCCGAGGGCAGGGGTAGGGTGGACGGGGGAGCAAAGCACACTTAGATCAGCCCAACTTTCCTTCTCATCTTCTTCCTGCAGGAGAAGGCGTATTGCTAATTTGTTTTTCACCAGTAATGAAGGTGATTTTGTTGGGTTGTTGGAAAAGTCACGACGTATTTTTTTCTATGTTTTTCTATGCAAAAATGCATCATGACTTTTCCCAAGACCCAATATTTTATCATCCATCTGCCTATTATGTCTAGTGCTTCTTTGTTTCCATACTCAAACAGGAGAAAATAAAACATGATTTAATGATGGTTTTCTATACCCACAAAACTTACAAAAGAATGCTATGCCATCCAACAGCCCCTCTCTCCACACCCGTGACACATAAGACACACACGAGCCACCCAGATTGGAGGTACTGCGGAGATAATATTAAGGGCTGATCATTTCCAATGTGCTAACTTGACTTCTCCACTTTTTTGCTGAAAGTGTGTGAGGATGCAAACATGTGAAATTTTATTTAAGGGAAACATTGACGACGTATTTTTTTCTATGTTTTTCTATGCAAAAATGCATCATGACTTTTCCCAAGACCCAATATTTTATCATCCATCTGCCTATTATGTCTAGTGCTTCTTTGTTTCCATACTCAAACAGGAGAAAATAAAACATGATTTAATGATGGTTTTCTATACCCACAAAACTTACAAAAGAATGCTATGCCATCCAACAGCCCCTCTCTCCACACCCGTGACACATAAGACACACACGAGCCACCCAGATTGGAGGTACTGCGGAGATAATATTAAGGGCTGATCATTTCCAATGTGCTAACTTGACTTCTCCACTTTTTTGCTGAAAGTGTGTGAGGATGCAAACGTGTGAAATTTTATTTAAGGGAAACATTGAATACACTTTAGGATGTTTTAAAAGCTAATTATTCAGAAACTTTAAAGTTATTCCACCATTGTAAGTGAGCTATTACTAATAACAAATAATTTGAAGGTTTTAAAGATAATAATATACTAGTGTATCATAATCTAAGGATGCAAACTGCTGTCTTAGAGAATCTCAGTTTACCAGGTCAGCTAAGAAAAGTTTCTGTTCTAACAAAGAATTCTATAATGGTCTCAGCCAAGTGATCAAATGCTTGGAAGACAACACTATTAATTTTCTTTGAAAAGTTCAATGATTCTCCACCTATAATTCCAAATGTCTTTTTTTAACCCAAAGATTTGTGTTCATCCGTCTGAATATAAGTAGTGCTTCCTTTTCATATTACACATTCTAGCCACGCACTGGAAACAGAGTAATAAACATGAGGGTATTATTAGAATGATACAAAGTTCTGACAGTGTTAACCAATTGTTCTTACTGTTCAAATGCCATCATGCAGATAATTTTCACATCATTAATTATAGTGATTGTCAAGAAATGCCAGAAGTGGCATTTTTTTAATGAAAAATAAGGTTTTAGGAAATAATGCCCTATTTAATAGGATTATATAAATGTCTGATTAGTGAATGAATACACATTTATTATGTAAGAAACTGTTATTTGGATTCCATATTAGTGTAATCATAAAAAAAGAGCCGTAGTGTTGTACTCAAATGGAATTTTCTATAAAATAAATCACAATGTGCTACTATGAAAACATGCCTCTGGATTGAGCTCACCGCTGACAGTTTTGAGTTTAATTCTGCTATTGAACTAAGCCGTATGGAAAATAGGGTGACCCTAATTCACGACTTCAGAAATAATTCAACCAGTGGTCCTGTCATCTTCAAAATCATTTTCAATATTTTTATAACTCCTCTCTTCCTCTAATGCAAAAGTTTAAGTTTCAGGACACCTGGATCATGCTGATATTTGGAAGAAAATAAACATTCTAGTAGCAGGTTTTTAGGATGCTTTGCCAACGTGGCAGATGTAGACAGATGTTCATTTCCCTTTGCAATCTGCAACATGAAGTTCAGAGTTTCCATTAACTTCAAAGAAGACTTGGAATACTGAAGAGACATTTGGAGTAAGAGAAAGGGGTGGACCTAAGTAGGCTCAGATGCAAGTCATATGGAACGGGATGCAAAATGTAAACTATTATATACATGAAATAAAGCTGCTACACTATGCAAGGGTTTTAAAGTCAATTAATATGTTCAAATAAGGCATCCTCCTAACCATTTAAAGGAAGATTAAAAAACTTCAGTGTTTCGACATAGCTTTATGTGCTTTTCTAACTAATTAAGTATGTTAAGCTAGATTTTGGAAAATTGAATATTAAACAAAGAGAACAAAACAGAAATGCAAAGTGTAATCATTACTCCACAATTTCTTAAACTAGTTTCTTAAACTAGAAGAAGAAAAAAACAAAAAAAAAAACAGAAAAAACAGAGCTGGAAGAATATAAAAATTCCTATTCTTTTTTTTAAATTCCGTACGTAGGAAAAATATACCTGAAGCATCCAAATAAATGATCTAATGTTCTGAAAGATAATAGATACATAGCCAGCCCATGGTTGACAGTTACGGTAGCTAGATCCCAGTAATTGACCGCAATTCAAGTCCCGGACCCATCGACCCAGTACTTAAAAAACATGTGGGACACATGCGCATGAGTGCCCAAAATTTCAAAGGAAGGGAAAATGGAGGACAAGCGATTGTGACAAAGCTTTTTATCTATAAGCAACGACAAATTTGTAGGTCCAAGCATCTAACACAAGTATACCTAGAAAAAGAAAAAAAAAAAGAACCCAGCACAATAGTTTATGTTAAGCATTTTTTGACTATTTTATTTTTTGAGAAACCACTCAAGGATCATGTCCCATGGTGGGGTGGGTGGGGGGGTATACCTTTTTGATTTCTCTCTCTCTCTCTCTTTCTCTCTCCCCCTCTCCCTCTTCCCTCCCTTGGTAAGTGCATATGGTTTCTGGCAAATTGAAACACAACAAAGACAATGAATTCCAACACTTTGATCTCCACAAGCTCCTTTAGAATATCCATAAAAGTTACAGATGCAAAGACAGCTTTCAGAGCTTGTTCATATCCTTTCTCTTTCAATTTAAGTTTAGGTTGCTTTGTCCTATCTCCATGAAAATAACAATGTACTTTTAAAATTACATTATCTGCTTGAATGTTAGTGCTCTTATTCCAGAGCTTTAATTTTTTTTGTTCTCTAACCTGAGAATTTTTTAAATTTTAGAAGTTCTCCTCTTTAACCTGATCATTTTAAAAGTTAAATCTATTACAAAAGAAATATTTTATGCATTTCTGTGAGTCTAATATTTTTATATTAAAACATTACAATTCACAGATTATTTTAATATCTTAATATCTCATGACCATTTCCATTCATTGATATATTAAATAAGGTGTCATTTTATAGGCTAAATAGCCTACAATTTATCTAACAATGTGTCAGATTCTGTTACACCATGTACCATAATTTATTGAAAAATTTTTGAATTTCTGAATCATTTCCAACATTTTGAAAGACTACGTGTCCAAATATCTTTTGTGATTATGTTTCCATTTATGACTGTTCACCTGCAATAAACTCTCTAGAGGAGGTTTGTGGAATCAAATGGTATCCAAAAAGGGGGAAGGTCTTTCTTACATTTTAATGATTCACTGCATGTTAGAAGTTGTTACCAATGAACCCACTCAAATACCCCAGCAGTCATAAAAGTTCTACTTTCCCCACAATCCCATCAATGCTTGCTGGGTCATTTTTATTTTAATCTTTGAGAATTTGATAAGCATTAAGTATTTATCAAATAACAAGCATTTCATTTGTATTGCATTTCTTTAATTACTAGTGAAATTTGACATTCTCTCTCTGCTTAAAACACTGCTAGGGAGAAGAAACCACAAAAAAACATTTATCCTCAATGTCAAAGAACTTAACTAATGTATCAGTTCCCAGAATATAATATCTTACCACCACCAAACCCTGAAACTCACTGTACGGGTATTGATCGTCAGTTGTGTAGATTTCAACATCATCTCTGAATAAACTGTAAGTGAGCCGGTGGGCATTTGGAGAATCAGGTGGGCTCCAGGAGAGATTGATAGCAGAAGAACTTTGCACTTGTCCTTTGGGTGGAGGTTGCTGGGATGGAGCTAAATTACAATGGAGAGAGCATTTATTAGCAAAAACAATCGATAAACACAGAAGTTAACTGAAGTAAGATACCCAGCACAGAAGTCTTTCTGTTGCAGGATTACTTTATCAAGTAGACATGTGGTTTACCAGGACATTAATAAACACAGGGTACACATCATGGGTTCTCTAAAACAAAGCTTTTTATCTATAAGCAACGACAAATTTGTAGGTCAAAGCAGCTAACACAAGTATACCTAGAAAAAGAAAAAAAAAAGAACCCAGCACAATAGTTTATATTAAGCATTTCTTTGACTATTTTATTTTTTGAGAAACCACTCAAGGATGCATAATTTATTTTCTACTTAGTTAATTTAAAAGTTGACGTAAGTTCCATTGAAACTTGAAATTTAAGCAACATAAGTTGGGAATTTTTAAGAGGAAGTTTTCCATTCCATTAAACATGATATCTCATCTTGGTTCACAGAATATAGTGTAAAAAATATCTGACATAAATAGCTGTGGATGTTAAATCATCTAAATATTATAAAGAAACTATTTGAATATATTATGTGAGTATACTAACACCTGTTAGAGGTGCTTTTATGGCTAGATGGCTGATGAGGCACAAAAGAACATTCGTCTAATTCTAATAATGTTTTCAACAGCCTAATATAGAAGATAAAAACATTGCCTTTTATCACTGCATCACTGTCGATTTTCCTTAATTGCTCTATTTTTGAGAGTAAGCATACTTTTCCATTTCCCCTCAGACTGTAACAAGGTAAAATAGAAAAAGAACAATGAAGTATTTTTAAAGAACAAACTACCAGTTTACCCTTCTGGTTTAAATAAGATATACAACCTTGCGTCCATTTAGAAAAGCATAATCTAACCAGACTTTCTTACTGAATAAGATGTCAGAGGAACACACATTTATTACACCCTGAGTTCTTTCTCTAGGAAAAATGTTGAAATCATGTAGGAAAATGAATATAGGAAATAGTTTTCAGAATTTTTATTTGAAATACATGAAGTCACTGAGTGACTCACTTAGGGTCTTTGGAGAAAAATAGAAAATAGACTCAAATTTTGGAAAAGCCTAATAAAAGAAATCAGGTAACAATCTAGGTATGGTAACTACAGAGCTCTACAACTACGTCAGGGCTCCTCAAGACCATCCTGGAGACCAGGAGTTGGTGTAATGGCTATGTCGCTAGACTCCCACGAAGTCGACTGTGGTTTGAATCCCGAACTGGGTGGCTTAAACTCACGCCAGGCACGTGTGTGTGCATGCCCAAGATCCCGAGAGGAGAATGGAGGAGAAGGGATTGCAGCGTGGCCATTCCCCCCTGGGGGGTGATTTCCTGCTTCTTTCTGTCTCTCTGTCTCTCTCTGTCTGGCGAGCGCACGCGCCCTATAGCAAAAATCTCTCAAAAAACAAAACAAAACAAAACAAAAAGACCATCTTATACCTTAGTCCAATGATTCACTGGTAAGGCTTTTAGTACTACACAGATTTATCCAGTAGAAGGTAATAGAATACATTCAACAAAGGGGAACAGTTACATCTATGAAGTCCAGGGGAAACCAGGCCCCACATTTCACAAGTCCTCTTCCAGTGAGTCATGAATGACATGCTTCATTCCCTGAGCACTAAGTTACCAAAACATGTGGAGGGACCAGAAGATGGCATAATGGTTATGTCACTGGACCCTCACTTGGCCGATTGTGTTTTGAGTCCTGGCACTGGAAACTCACATCAGGTACATGTGCATGCGTGCCCAATATCCCAAGAGGAAAAAGGAGGAGAAGGGATTGGGATGTGGCAGACCCCTTGGGGCAAGGGGTGACTTCTCACGTTCTGTTTCTATCTCTCAGCAAGCACATATGCCCTAAAACAAAAATCTCTCTTTAAAAAAGAAATGTGAAAAATGTTGCCAACCAAGGAAGCTAATTAGAAACTCAGAGTCCAAAGTTTTTGCTGGGAACTGTTCTTGTAGGCAGCCTGTCTGGCAAGTACCAAACTCTCTGACTCCTAGAAGAAAAGCAGCTATTTATAAACCACATAGTTTGTATAACAGTTTAGGCACAGTGACCTAGCCTTGATGGCACAAGTGGGAGGATGCTGCTGTGAAATGCTGTAGCCACTTGGAAGGCCTGGTACAGACCCTGGGTTGACTCTAACACACTGGGAGTGAGGCATGTCTGTGGCCCTGGCTGACTGGGAGGCTAGAGGTGGGAGGATTGTGGAATGATCCTTGTTAAGAGTACCTATCTTTCTGTCTCTCTTTCCCTCTAATGAAAGAAATAACATTTTGTAAACTTAGAGAAAAAGAATTTAAACAGTGATAATTTTTTATCAGTTCTGGGGATGGTGGGGACCTTATAAAATCAAAGTCCTTAGATGCCAGTCAAGGGACAATTTTGTAAGCAGACCTTTTTAAAAATTGGAAGTCAGGCCTTGGCCTGCTATGTTAACTCCTCTCTGCACGCTGTCCTTCCCATCACTGAATCGGGACAAACTCAGATTTAGAAAGGGATGTAAAAAGAGCCTCCCCCTGACCACTCCTGAAGGGACAGAGTTGGCTCATGGGCACTCCCACATTGAGACAAGTTCTTGTGAATACAATTTTGATGCCCCTTTCAGTCTACCTGCCAGATGTTTGGCAGGCTCCTCCTAATAGCTGAAGGCAACTAACTAGAAGCCAGAGGACAAGGTTCTTACTGACACAGACCATACAGAGTTTTGAAGGACAGAACATGGTGGAGAAGTGTGGACCAGCGAAGTGAAGTTATTTTGCACACCAAAGACTTTCCACTAAGAGCTATAGCTAATTCATTAGTACTCTTGTTATACTCCATTTAAAAAACAATTAAATAATATTCTAAGATAGTATTTCAAGGGGCCAGATAGTTGCATAGTGGTTAGAGGCGCTGGACTCCCACATGGCCAACTCCAGTTTGAGTCCCAGACCTGGCAGCTTGCTTTCTCATTTTCCCTCTCTCTTTCACTCTGTCCCTTTCTGGTCAAATTAAAATAAATTAATTAATTTAATTAAATAATTCTTAAAAAATATGTCATGAGCACTGACTATGAAATATATAAAACCCCATATAGTATGCATAGGCTGCCAAAAGACAGTATCTCCAGTTCTAAGGCAGAAAATATCAGTATCATATTGTTAAGGAAAAGTATTTAAGCAGGGTTTTATCTTTATCTTCCTTGGAATTTATATTGTTATATTACAACTGCATCTGTCCGTATGCCTCTTAAGATCTACGACAAAAGGAGTAGCAAGCTTCAAAATGATACACAGAAAGAATTATTTCCTAAATAACACCGCACATTTTTTAATTCAGAAATTTGTTGTATTTGACGTGGTCACTTTGACTGTCTCAGCATGGACAATGCATTCGAACATTTCAGTTGACTAATTTAGGGTCTTAAGTCCTGTTTGTTAGTGGAACCACAAAGATTCATGAACTGCCTCATTTATAGTACTCTCAGAGATACTTGAAATCCAAGGCAATTGAATTACAGGTGAATATTAGTGATTACATAAAAACTCTGAATGTCATCAGGAACACAACAGACTTTAGAGCTGGAGCAATCAAAATTGACCTTCAGACTATTTTCCAAGACAGTGAGATATCTGTGGGATAACTGAAAGAAAGATGTTTCAGTCCCATGTCAGAGAGTATAGAAAATGATTTGCATTACATGAAAATTTCCTTGGCAACAAAAGCTCTTCATATACACAGGTTCTTTTCAAACATTTAAGTTCATTACTTGCTATGACCATCTCTAACCATAATCTTGTCTGGCTTCACGGTATAAATAAATAGTACCTGTTTGGCATTTAAATGAGAATTTTTATAGACCTGAAGGTTTAGATGGTTCAACATCACTTCACAAATAAATATTATAAAATCCTGGGCAGGAGATAACTTGAACCTTCCCTTTATGAGATCAAACTAGAATTCTGAGAAAATACACATATATTCATTTGCCAAAATGGTCAAAATGCCATAGTAGATTTTAAGGAACAAAAGTATAATATTGTGATTAAATCCATCGGTTGGGAGCCAGGAGTTTAAATCCCAACTTTGGAACTATGATAGTTGTATAATTACAGCCAAATACTGATTGGACTCTCTGAAGCTTTACTCATGTATAGTAAGAGAATGATAGTCTTATTTTTAGAGTTTCTGAGGATCAAGCATGTGTATGTACATATATGCACGTGTGAGTATATGTGTACCTACATAAAGTAATTTCTTTAGTAAATATAACCTTCTTTTTCTCTACCCTCAAAATAAGATTGTTCTATCCCAAGAACTATAAAGGCCTTTTTTGACAATAGGTAAATACAAATAATATTTACTAATGGGAAAATTATATTCTGTCTTCATATACTAATGGAAAAGTGATCACACATAAATCTTGCATGGAACTCCTAAGTCTAGTGCCAAAAGACACTGACCAAGACATAGATAAGTGCAATAGGAATAACAAACAGAAGTAACAGTGTGGAATGGCACTGCAGGCCGCCTGAGTACACAGAGAAGTGGATGATGCTTTCCTTATTCAAATTCAAACCAGGTAATGAGACAACACACAGCCATGATGATTGAAGGGGGCTCCAAGCATATATATATATTCTTTATTGGAATCTCATTCTGGTAAAAGAAGAGCATTATGAGTGTATGGATTGTTAGTAATTATATACAAGAGGAAAAAATGATGGGAAGAATACTGATCTGTATCTGATTCTAGTCAACAGGTGATTAGATGAAAGCAAAAATGGCCAAAGAATAGTAGATGAAACATATTGTGTGCACGTGTGTATGTGTGTGTGTGTGTGTGTGTCTCACACACACACACACAAACACACACACACACAAGGAGCGCAGCCCTATGAAGACAGGTCCCTAGACTCTATATTTTGCTTTGCTATCCCTTGGGTGTTATCCTTGTGTACATGGTCCCAAATAGATGCCTACTAAGTTCACAATC